TGTTCGTACTACAACCTTAAAGCTTGCTGTAATAGATGGAGCTGCGCTCCTTTCGATTTACGATTCTCGGTTTCGGAAATGCCCTTTGAACGATTGATAATGGACTATTAAAACCGTAGTTTATTGGATGAGTTTGAATTGCCGAAATCTTTACCGGCGAGTGTTTATCGGGTTATTTCGGATTCGTTCGAAAACATGGAGCTCTAGTATATTTAAATACGAAAATCAGCGCAGGGACAGCACGGAGATGAGAAGACACAAACACAGTGTTGTGCTTGTGTCTTCTCGTCTCTGTCCTGTTGCTGCTTTGTTTTTTTTTTAATGTCAGTGTATTCCAACCAGCCCAATTCAAGATGCTAATGTAGCTCTATAGTATCAACCTAAAAAAATGCTCTCCGCCCACAGAATCGCGTAGCGCATGACATATACTTGTGAAAAACGGTCGTTCGAGGGAGTTTTAACTGGTACCGTGAGTACTTTTTTTCTTTGGTTAGTGTAAGTACTACATATAATAATGTTTCCTGCATTGCTTATCAGCCATGGATGTTCTGGGGATGCCTTGTGGTGGCATGGAAATGGTGAAGACCCCTTGCATTGAAAAAAAGGAGCTCCCACGTGTTTGGAAATAGTGTAGGAGAGAGTAGGAGCTGTGCTTCGCCACTACTACCCTCGCCATTCGCTCTCTCTCCTCCCTGCGTCCCACTTTCCCGTCCACTCGCTCATCAGAAAGACACAGACAAAGAACGTCCTGAGAAACGCTGCTCCTTTAGAGCAACGTCGCGGGCCGCTCCCACGTAGGAACGGGGAGGCCTAGCCTCACCACCGCGTCGTGGGCTCTCTGGACAACCCGTAGTTGTGGTAGCAACTCTGAACTTCGTAAGGCAGAGTCCCAATTTTCTTCTGTGAGCCGACTTGGGCCCCGTAACGAGGGGCACTGCCAGAGCATATGTGCTAAGTCACTAACCTCACCACAGTCAGGACAGGTAGAGTCAAAAGCCTCTGAGGAGACTATGCTGAGAAAAAATAGGCTTGGATAGGACCTGGTCTGGAGCATTCTAAACGTGATGCCTTGAGGTCTAGACAACTTGTTGTGCGGTGGAGCAAATGACCGCCTACTCAACTGGTAGTGTTTAGCCACTTCACTGAATGTAAGTAAAGCGTCCCTGAACATCTCACTGCCAACCTGCGGACCTACGTCCTCCCCAGCGCGGAGGGTTAGTGCGCGCGCCCGGGAGTGAGCAGTGTCATTCAGGTTTACTTGAGAGTCCAGTAGGAGTTCGAGACGTGAAGGAAGCCAGGTAATGGTATCTGGAGAAAGTGTCCTATTTTTAAGTAGTTTAAATACTTCAGTACAGACGAAATCAGAGGCGGAAGCCTTGACCGCTGACCTTGAGTCGGTGAAGATTTGCGATCTACTGTCATCCAAAACGGCAAGGGCTACAGCCAACTGTTCGGCTCTTGAGGGAGCAGAGTCCCTAACTTACGCGGCATTGATAATAGAGCCCATATGATAGACGGAAATAACAGAAAACCTAGCTGAGCAACCGTACTGAGCGGCATCGACAAAACAAACCGAAAGAGGATCGTTCCTGATGTTCTTTAGAAGTGTGATGGCCCTAGCCCAGCGCCTTCCTACGTTGTGCTGAGGATGGACGTTTCGCGGAAACAGAGAGACCTGGATGGCAGTACGCTGTTCATCTGGTAGTTGAAGACGATGATCCTCTACGGGCGCCGGTCTGAGGCCTAGGATGGACAGAATCTTCTTACCAGCCGGCGTAGACGACAGGCGCATTAGCTGTGCAGTCTCTTGGGCTTCCATGATCTCATCTTGTTATGAGCTCCTAGCTGCATAAGCCGTTCAATGCTTGTTCGCACGGGGATGCCCAACACCCTTTTTACGCTTTTTCTGATCAGAGTTTCCAGCTTCTTCTTTTCGAATCCATACCAAGAGTGCATGGCAGCAACGTATGTTATGTGGCTCATGAGGAATGCATGAAAGAGCCTCAGTAGATTGTCTTCTCTGAGTCGCCTCCTTCTGTTCGAAACCCTATTAATCAACCTGATCATGTTCCCGGTCTTGGTTGAAATCTTAGCGATGGTTTGTCCGTTGTACCCGTGTGACTCTATAATCATGCCCAGCACTCTAACAGCGTCCACTCTCAAAATTGAGGGTGCCGCTTCCGGTGTGAATACAATGTCTACCTCTGTTAAAGGCTTCCAGTTTTTTGGCCTGGCTCCTTTTGTATTGGGCCTGTATAGAAGCAGCTCCGATTTACTCGAGGAGCACCTCAGCCCTGTGCCAGCAAGGAAGAGCTCTGTCTGATCGATGGCTTCCTGGAGTGCAATCTCGACTTCCCCTTCGCTACCTCCGGGACACCAGGTGGTAATATCATCAGCGTAAAGCGTATGGTTCATGCCCTTAACGTTATATAGCAGTGTAGACAACATGCATATAGCGATGTTAAAGAGAAGCGGAGATATCCCAGCTCCTTGCGGCGTGCCTTTAGGGCCCAGTGCTATGGGAGAGGACTTGAGGTCTCCGATATTGAGCGTGGCCTTCCTGGATTCGAGAAAGGAGCTAACGTATCTATGGAGGGCTTCGCCTAATCCAAGGTCTGAAATTGAGTTTAAGATGTGCGCGTGTGAGATGTTGTCAAACGCTTTTTCTAAGTCAAGGCCCAGGATGCCTCTTACGTCCCTTGTGTTCACGTCTATGATTTGATGTTTGAGCAGCTTCATTGTGTCATTGTACGAACAAAACCCAGCCATGTTGTAAGGAAAAAGACCTTTCTTCTCGATGTACTTAGAGACACGGTTGTAAATGACGTGCTCTGCCACCTTGCCGACACAGGACGTTGGCGATATGGGTCTTAGATTGCCTAAACCTGGAGGTCGCCCCGGCTTGGGAATGAAGACAACCGATGCCATTTTCCAAGAGTCTGGGACAGAACCTTCTCTCCATATACGTTTGATCTCATTGGTAAGAAAATTAATGGATTCGTCTTCCAGGTTCCTGAGGGCCTTGTTCGAGATGCCATCCAGCCCCGGAGCTGATCGTCCATTAAGGTTTCGAAGAACTTCCCAAACGTCGCTAGGGGTAAAGAGCTCTCCGAGCTCATTGCAAGGGGGTCCAGTATAAGACGGATAGCCTGAACAGCTCGAGGAGCCAATGGGTAAATATCTGTGAGCCAAACCATCCAGTATAGCGTCTTCAGAATCAGACTGTCTTGCGGCATGTATGAGTTTAGCAATTGCTTGCCTTTGATTACCCTTGGAATACGACTCGTGCAATAGGTGCTTTGAAAATTCCATTTCCCTCCTATTCTCATTTGGCCATCAAACATTCGAGGACCACTCGCTCGTACGTGTATATAAATGAAGTGGAGCGCGTGCCTCACTCTCGGCCGTCCGCTGGCTGATGAATGTGTAAATAAATGCTCGTGCTACAAATCCTCGTCTCCTCATTATTTACGCCACGAAAATAACTACGCCGTGTACTCTCGGCGCAAGAAATGCATTCGCATTTCCTCACGATTCCGTTCGGGGAGGTGGGAGCAAGTTTTAAATGGGCGCGCGTTAAAGGTCGTCGCTCCGCTCGTTGCGATGCAGGGGCGCTTATCTCGTGATGGGAGGGGTTTGCACGTCTTACGATCTCACCACAACTTGTAGTAAAACGAAGGTCACATAGATCACTGCAGCTGCTGCTTTTCGGAAAGAAGAGCGCCGTTCACGCTCTTCTTTAGAATTTAGAATTTAGAATTTAGAAGTTTTTAATTCGTGGTCATTCTGTGCATGATATTTTTGTGCGTCATTTCCGTTTTAGCAGAGAATTTCATGTTCGCAGCTGCTTGCCGTTCTTGACGTGATGTTACACTTTATTGCTATAGCATTCACTCAGTCGCCCTTGCGGTGAAACAATGCACAACAAACGCTCAGCTACTTCTGCGAAGGCACGTTGCACTTTTGTGCTATGCTGATTTCAATGACAGAGGGACCAACTATGTTTCTTTACGCTTAGTTTAGGTGTTGCTAAAAGCATAATCCCAACTTCGCAACTCCTTTTCGAAAACTGCTTTATTTACCGCATATATAGGGAGAGACAAACATGAAAACATTTATTGAAGTCCTTACGAACCAGCCAATGAGTACCCGCTATGGCTGCCTTTCCCCTTTTTCCGTCATATTTATTTTTTCCCCTTTGTCTCTGCATAACAAGATAATCCACAGCCGCTCCCTCGCATATCTTGGGAGCCTTTTCTTCTGAGGTTATTTTGATCATCAGGCAGAACGCTCATTGAAAGTGTTGCAACAAAAGTGCTCGAAAAGAAGATGCCGTCGGAATGAATTTATTTGTGCGTGTTATTATTTACTTTCGGAGTCCCTATTTCTAAGTTCTCTACTAAAAAAATATGCATGACTGCCAGCGTCTACATAAATAAGACCAGTCGGCTGAGTTCAGCTAATAAATCGATATTTTTATGCTAACGAGTCTACCACCATATATATAAAACAAATGAGGACAGTATTTCTTCATTTCATTACCTAAATCTTACAAACAATAGATATTAAGTTCTGTTTTTGCTATATATGCATCAGAACGAACACAATATGGTCCCTATGTATTCTCTAACCTTCCTACACCATAAGCAATCTTATTCCTTATTTAAGAATGTTTCACGAAGCCATTCAATTATTAACCCACCCCCTCCCCCAGTGGGCGTGTGCCACAGAAATGGGCGAAAAAAAAGCATGATGCCAGGGGAGTCTCCCTATAGGATAATTAATTCTTTCCTGATCCCCCTTAGTGGGTATGAGCCATGTTTGTGGTATCATCATCAGCAGCAACAGCGTATGTATTACGCCTTTTTGGTGGTTGCGCGTGTTTGAACAGCCTGCTCGCATGCGAGGTAAACCGGACCGAGCCCTCTAAAGGGTAACACCCAAGAAGAGCTTGTGGCCGACGACACGGCGCAGTTGCGATTTCTGTGTCTTCCCAAAACATGGCTCATGGTGAGGTCAGGCCCCTGGACACGCTCGATGAACTGCTCGCGTTCACAGAGCCACAACCGTGCATCGTGGAAGCTATGCGGGAAGTAAAGCGAGGTGATGGGCAGGGCCCGAGGATCATGTTTTGCCACGACATGATGGGTGGCTACCTCGAAGACCGGTGAGTGCGATGACCATCATACTTGCTGCCATTCCAATGACCAAAGTGTTGTGAAGGTCAGCGTGGGAATTTTCGACTGACAAGAATGAAATACTTCACCTCCATTGGGAGATTTCGTGCAACAATGCATGCGTTGTCAGTATACGTTCGTTGTAGTTTAGTGTCTCATATTGACTATGGTCTATGCGAGGTGCGATAGTGATGGGCCCCCGATAACTGCGACCGTGTGTGTTTGTTAGATGTTCATCTACATCGCTCAGTACACGGAGGTTCAGCTCGATTCCTCCTGGTGGATGCAAGCACTCCACCGCCACTGACCACCATTTCTGCTGTCTGCTACATCAAGCTCTTCCTGGTGTTCTCACTTATGATTACGAGCTTCTGATTTGGCTTAGTTCATTTAAAACACACGCTTGCTTGTCCTTATTTGTTTAATCCGTAAACCATGGCCGAATTTATGTTTCTCATTTATGGTACAACACTGACTTGTAAACGCTCTTCTTTTTTACCCTTTTCTTTTTGTGTGTGTTTTTTACCGCGATATTTCACCAATGGTCATGTGGTACCCACCAGCCAGAACTACTACCCGGTGTCGAAACCAGGTCTATCTGATACGCACCCATGCAGCGTAACTAGTAAACTACCACGTCAGAGTTCACAGGATGAGTAATCATGCAGTTTAAACTCAATTGAACAACTTTATGACCAAGCTCGAGTTATTTTGTTTAATCAGGAAGTTCTTGAAGCTGGGCAAAATATTCTGCAGTCCTTCGAAATTAACAAAAATCCAACGAAGCTATAGTTTACACCACTAGCGTGCACTCTATTCGATGCTAACCGATGTCTGAGCTTGCAAAAATCCAATGAAGTCTGCCTGGCCAGGGAACGTCTCATTGCCGAGTGATTCGTTCCGAAACATTCCCGTGAAATTATGACAGGCTGATTATGTGCAAAGTCAGGGAGAACGAATGTATTTACTGAGCGAGCAGACCGAGAAGGGATGTTTATTGATAGTTAAGAACATGCGCGTGGTGTGCGGTTTTGTGAAAATAAACTTAGGGAGTAACTTCGGCGGCTGCATGTTTCAAACCAATAGCGTTGGAGCGTACGTACAAAGAAAATTAATATGTGTCAGAAAGCAATAACTGGGCTTTCAGGTCGTAAAACACAGATTTAATCTGGAGATACAGTGCAAAATTTGTTGTAGGGCTCTGAAAATTCGACCATCTTGTGTTTTATAACGTATCAGAATAGGAACAAAATATTCGTTTCTCTACTAATTGGTTTAAAAAAAACAGCGTTAAGTCTGATTTGGTGACAAATTAGTTCAATTAAATCTGTTTAACTACTACACTGAAACCTTCCGACACCTGCCGTGAAATGTAGAGCTTTTGTTTCATCGTTCATTCGTTTATTAATTGAATTTGGATTAGAACGTGGAGTCACATTCCGGAGAGAATAATTTGAGCTGTATGAAACACTACACTGCATTCATACGAGCGTGCGCTAAAAGTTTCTATGCTATGATCAGGTGCAAAGAGCACAGGCATACGTATAACAGAGAAATCGTTCGTTTTTTGTTTCGCCTTGTTGTAAACGCTTCCCGCTGTGAAGTGCGCCAAGGCCCTTCAAAACTGTAGCACTCTCCCCTATTTGTTCCTCTATCTGGTGACTTGTGTTTTATAGCAATATGGCGAGTGTTCATATGTGTGCCGTTTTCCTTTAGGTTCATCCACGGATGCGACAAGCCACATGCCTACCGTTTCCACCACTGGCAGCTGATCGATAGCTTCGTCTATTACGCCCATCACCTTGTTACGATTCCCCCTCCTGGATGGATCTCCGCTGGCCACAAACATGGCGTCAAGGTCTTGGGTGAGGTGCACGAGATGTCAATGCGATATTATCAGCGTGTCGCTATATACCGAATGTTCCTGTCAGAACAAAGTCTGTCTCTATATTTTTCTTTCTTTTTCCGGGGCGTGCTTGTTGCCTTCTTGTCGAATAGCTCCATGGCGGCAAATAGATCGACGAGTCAAAAAAAAAAAAGCCAAAGAAGGCGAGCTTGCCTCTTTTTGCCACCTGTAAGCCTAGTTGCGTTCGGAGGAGCATTGCGATGTTCGCCATGTTGGGACCTATAGATATAGGTAGGCATTCGCTTTCTGGGCGCCATTCGCTCGGAGGATTTCAAGCTGGACGGTTGTGCCCTCGCGATCTCCGACTTCAGCGTAGCTCCCGCCGACTGGTTCGCCCTCCGCGGTCTCCTGATGCCGTGCAGCTCTCGCATTGTGGCACCCCGCCCTTGGACTGCTTCGACCGGATCCCCACTTTCCTATCTCCTTCTTTTTTCCTCTCGTTGGCTGGCGGCTTCTTATCCGTCTATTTTCCTTCTATTCTTTTTATCCCTCCTTCCTTCTCTCTATATCTTTTATTCCCCATATCCCATTCCTCTGCTGACCTGTTGAGGTGTCCTCGTAAGGAGAGACAGTTACGGGTCGGCACCTTTCTTTTCTTTTCTTCTGATATAACCACAATCTAGATATAGGTAAAACCAAACAGAGCAAGAAAAAAGAATGTACGTGTTGACCATTGATTTATATATGGGGTTTAACGTCCCAAAACTACCAAATGATTATGAGAGACGCCGTAGTGGAGGGCTCAGAGAATTTCGACCACCTGGAGTTCTTTAACGTGCGCCCAAATCTTAGCACACGGGCCTACAACATTTCCGCCTCCATCGGAAATGCAGCCGCCCCAGCCGGGATTTGATCCCGCGACCTGTGGGTCAGCAGCCGAGTACCCTAGGCACTAGACCAACGCAGCGGGGCGAATGTGTGCACGCGTGTATGTATGTATGTATGTATGTATGTATGTATGTATGTATGTATGTATGTGTGTGTGTGTGTGTGTGTGTGTGTGTGTGTGTGTGTGTGTGTGTGTGTGTGTGTGTGTGTGTGTGTGTGTGTGTGTGTGTGTGTGTGTGTGTGTGTGTGTGTGTGTGTGTGTGTGTGTTTGTGTGTGTGTGTGTGTGTGTGTGTGTGTGTGTGTGTGTGTGTGTGTGTGTGTGTGTGTGTGTGTGTGTGTGTGTGTGTGTGTGTGTGTGTGTGTGTGTGTGTGTGTGTGTGTGTGTGTGTGTGTGTGTGTGTGTGTGTGTGTGTGTGTGTGTGTGTGTGTGTGTGTGTGTAGATTGCAGTTGGACACTGCGTGAACTCTGGGTGCGTCCGCCAAATTTTGGTGGGCGCCATCGCGTGATCGTCTGCTGTCGTCTCCGCCGAACTTTTGTTTTCCAGTGGCGTATCGTAAAAAGCTTCAGTATGAGACTCGTTTCGTTTTATTGTGATAGCAAATATATGGGCACTCTCCACTGGATTTAGCTACAGGCGTCGCCATCACTCGCCGTAAGTGTATAAGTTTCTATATAAATGAAGATGCAAGAAAAAAGTAATCCAGCAAAGACTCCGGTGTGCAAAATCGAACATCGGACCTCTGAATTGTGAGTGCGAGGCACTCTCCACTTCGCCACGAAGGAGTATCTCCTTTTACGTTCAAACGGCAAGCTATTCATATCTACCACTTACCGCTGATGATGGGCATCTCGAAAGAAACTATCGTGTTTTCAGCATTACCAGGAATATGGAGCGGTGAGCGCGTGTCACAGCATCGTCACTACGCGGTGTCGCGTGCTCTCATCTCCCACGCGTACTTTGCCCCGCGGAAAGGGGGCAGGGCGGATGCTCACGCGTGCGCTTGGGTATCTCGCGATGGGGACAATTGTGCGCCTTGGCTGGCCTTGGGTTTTCATCGTAACGATTCTGTTGCAGTTACCGGGCGCACGAAGGTCACTGCACTCGTTTCAGAGTCTCCGTGGGAGAAAAGGGCGCGCTTTTTAGACACAGCACACTAACAACTGAGACGTTTATTCACTATTATTTGTACCTGTGAGTGAGTTTTGTGCGTCATTTGTGTGTGAGAAACGTGGGGCACGTTTCAATCTTCTTGCCATTTTGCGTGTGACCTTCCAATTTGTTGGTATCACGTTCATTGCTTCGCCTTTTCGGCAAAGCTGCGACTTATTCAGTGCCCAACAAAACATATTGGATTGAGCTTACCAGATTGTCCTGTACATGACAAATGACGCTGAATATATTGAACATCTCCTATTGCTTCAAGGTGCGAAATGTGTAAGGTTTCATCTGGTCACTGACACTCCTTCGGTGTTTGGTCGCATGCTGCACCGTTCTTGGCGATTTCCCTTCACCGTCGCTTTTAAATTTCCTGCACTCACCCACTACAACTTTTTACCTCCGGATTTGTAGCGACCGCAACAAGTGACCAGAACGTGGGTAGTCATGCAAGTGTGGCCTAAACCTTTCGGAGTGAGCAGTGAACGTCGTTTTTACATTCAGTAGTGACACAGTAACCACAATGTACTATATACAATGATCACGGGAGTGCAACTGTAGGTAGGGTAGCGAAGAGGCTTGTGTAACCATCGCTAAGCTCCGAGTAGTTGACAGATTGTCCTCAAACAATCCTCAATGAATTGCTCCTGAAACGGAATCACACACCGACAGCACCCCAAGCTAGATTTATTCAAGCCCAACCAAAAGAATTGTTCGCAGTTTGCGTTGCATGTAGAAAACACGAGTTTACAGTAGTCACGAATCTACTGTGTCGCAATGAAGTTTCAATTATCTAAATACGAGTTTACATGGCTACTCACCCGGCAGGGTGTGATCCGCCGCAAATTGTGTAGAACAGTTTTTTTTTTACATTGCCTGGTCTCCCACCCTGACGGACTACAAGGAGCTTGGGCTGGTTGGTCGAAGCTTATGATGTATAATTTCACAGTGCAAGAACACTGAAAAAAAGACACCTTTTTTTACGTTTTCGCGGTGTGAAATTTGCCATAGTGAACCTTGATGGACTGTCGAGAATCGCTAATGGAGAGAATTCTTTCTTACGAATGGCGCTAGAGTGCCAATGTTCTGTATCTAACACGCCTGGGTTGGCGTGGCTTAAAACTTTTCTATTTGCTATTTCGAGCTTGCTGTTTGGCCTATGCGATTCAATGAAATATTATGCCAATGGCGCTTCTACATACTATGGTGTAACAGAACTGCATTAAATCACAGGAACAACGTGTACTGAATTCTTGTAAAATTTATTATCACAGAGGGAGACAAATCGTTTTTCTCTTTAGCGCTCTTCTAGCCATTGTCATTCGCTCTTAGTTATTGCTTTATATAGGCTATAACGCTTTTGCCCACGGCTATTAAGGTACTAGGTATACCCTTAGATTGTATGAGCAGTTACATACATCGAACAGAAAGAAATAATTTTAATGACGCAGAAGTACGAGAGAGAGAGAGGAACAACTTCATTTACAGCACCCGACTTTCCTTTACGACAATACGAAGACATGTAGAGTACCTCCCGTATGCACATTGTCATTTGATATCGCCATCTTGCTTTGTTACCCCGTATGTTTTTCGCAGGCACTTTAAATGTGAGGATCACTGGCGGGGATCCAGTTCATCAATAAAATCAGAGGCTCCAGACTTGAGAAAGAGGTTGCCTCTCAACTGGCTCGCATCGCCACCGCCTACAATTTCGACGGATGGCTCGTCAGCATTGCCTGCAGACTGGTCAGTGCAATATGGATTCATTACCACATACATCTTTTATGGTTTTGCATGTTTGGGAATATCACACTCCTGAGCGAGTACTAATATTATATTATGTAGGGTTTAGCGTCCCAATCACACGATAAGATTATGAGAGACGCCGTTGTGGAGGCCTCCAAAAACTTGCACCATCTGGTGTTCCTGAACGTACACTGACATCGCTCAGTACATGCATCCTCTACTATTTCCCCTTCATCCAAATGCGACCGCCGGCATCGAAGCCGTCACATTCGTGTCAGCAACCGAGCACCCCATCCTACTCACTGATCCACCGATGCGGACCTCCTCAGGTTAATAGTTGAGCGAATTGTTACATAATTCAAAAAGAAGAAAAGAGCGCCCTACATTTTCGACAAACGCACAAGACGGAGAAAGCCCCTGTCGTCCGTCTGCTTGAATATTTCTCAAAATATTTTAGCGCTTTGTTTTCCTTCATGGGACCTCTCCTAAGTCAATGCACCTATTTTTTAAACTTTTAGCAACTCTGACGTAATTACATTGACTACAGTTTTAAATATGTTTGCCATAACACACACACTCATACATTTAAAATATCTTTAAATATCAAACTTTCACTAAAAGGAAGCATATTTTTTGTAGTCAATAGTAATAAACAAGGTATTAAATTTCTCTAAACAGCTCGCTAACAGATTCCTAGAAAGCACGGAAAAAGATTACGAAGTGCATATCGCATTATTTTATTTTCAGAGACAATACTGGTGTTTCAAGTCAGAGCTTTGTGAGGATACGTTTTAGTTAGTACATGTCAGAGATATTCGAAGATACCATTTTGGCTATCACTTTACACCTCCAACTTTGGCGCAATTCTGCGAGCAAAAGCACCAATAACTCTTTCCATCGCGTCACGATCTTTTTGTCCCAGCTGCTTTAGCAACTCTTTCGGTTACTGGAAGTATTGACTCTTAATTACTGAAAAAAACTTTACAGGGGAGCTACATGGCTTGACAAAACATTGCTGTTGTCCCACATTGATTGGTTGAGCGATGAGGATTCACAATGAGAGAGGGGAGCCCAGCCAATCTAAGCCAAGGCACACAATGCCTAAAAATGAGCATAGTATGGTGTTCGTAGTAAGCAGGTGCGAAAGGTGAGCTAGAGCGAGGAGGGTGGTTCTGAGGGTGAGGAGGAGGGAAAGGAAGAAAGCATAGCGCAGCATAGTCTTGTATA